TTCCTCATTGATAAACACAGGGATAATAATGCCTCTGTCTCACAGGGTTATTATAGGAAGTAAGTGGGATGATGTATATAAAGGTGTCTACACGTACGTGGTATGGGGAGGAGATTCTGTAAACATTAGTGGCCTTTCCCTCCTTCCTCCTGAGCCCACCATTTCTTCTTCCCCTGTGTTTGAGGCTACACTGTGACCAACCAGAAAAACCAAACCTGTTGCCGTCAAGTCAGTTTCAACTCATAGTGACCCTACAGGACAGAGCAGAACTGCCCCATAGGGTTTCCAAGGAGTGGCTAGTGGATTCGAACTGCCAACCTTTCCAGTGTGGTCAAAAGTCACAGGATTGGCTGCATCAGCACTTAAAAAAGCCAGTTGCCATGAAGTCAATTCTGACTCATGGTAACCCCATGTGCGTCAGAGTAGAACCGTGCTCCATGGAGTTTTCAATGGCTGATTTTTCAGAAGTAGATCACCAGGCCTTTCTTTCTCCTGAGGCACCACTGATGGACTCAAATCTTCAACCTTTTGGTTAGCAGCCGAGCACGTTAACTGTTTGTACCACTATAATGTTATGGATTGAATTGTGTCCCCCCAAAATATGTATGTCAACTTGGCTAGTCCATGATTCCCAGTATTATGTGATTGTCCGCCATTTTGTCATCTGATGTGATTTTCCTATGTGTTGTAAATCCTACCTCTGTGATGTTAATGAGGTAGAATTAGTGGCAGTTACATTAATGAGGCTGGACTCAATCTACAAGATTAGGCTGTGTCTTAATCTCTTTTGAGATATAAAAAAGAGAAGCAAGCAGAGAGACACAGAGACATCATACCACCAAGAAACAAGAGCCAGGAGAAGAGTGTGTCCTTTGGACCCAGGGTCCCTGTGCTGAGAAGCTCCTTGACAAGGGGAAGATTGATGACAAGGACCTTCCCTGAGAGCCGACAGAGAAAGCCTTCCCCTGGAGCTGGCGTCCTGAATTTGGACTTCCAGCCTACTAGACTCTGAGAGAATAAACTCCTGTTTGTTGAAGCCATCCACGTGTGGTATTTCTGATTATAGCAGAACTAGAAAACTAAGACAAACACCCAGGACTCCACAGCAGCACTTAGGAGTTGTCAACTATAGAATTGGAGGTTTTTGAAAAGTGGGTAATGATATATTCTTGGTCAACCACTGAACTGAGAATAGAAAAAATTGTTCTCAGCCTCAAGAATGAAGAAGTGACAACAGGTGAGGAGGTGAAAGGATGGACAGAAAAGGTGATAGCTCAGAAATCTAGAAACAGCTTGGCTCAGGTGCTCTGGGGGTTGTAGAAAGAGCCCTGGACGGGGCAACAAGAGCCTGAACCTGGCCATGAGTGCTGTCACAAAGGCACTCTGGGGCTTGGGCAGTTTATATTCCGTCTGTGTCTCGGCTTCCTCATAGGCAATAAAACAAAATAAAGGAAGGCTGAGCTGCCTGCCAGCTCTCGACTGACCAGGAGTTTTGCATCTGGGTGGTAGAATGCTTTCCTTCCTATTCTTGGCCAGTATGGATGGGGAAATTCACTTCCTTTTCCCAGCTCCTACCCCTTTTGCCCCTTGGGGATTTTACACAACACAGAAGTTGCTCTCAGGGAACTGGGGCTTTCTAGGTTGTCTTTGTTTATACTTCGTTTAAAACCCAGAGACAAACGACCCCTTAATTCATGCAATGCTGGGAAGGTGAATCTGTCTTTTAGAAATCCAGAGGAAGCCATTAAACCATGTTGGTAAGTATTGTGACTCACAATAAGCTTTCCTCTGTAAAAAATGAGTCAGAACGACTTTCCAGGAAGTTTGGTTACTTTAATTATCTTACCTCTTTTTTCTTGCCCTTAAAAGCATACATTATCTAGTATTGATGCTACAAGAGAATACTGAGGTGAAAGATCTAGGAGTGGATAAGTTTCAGATAGCACAAACCTCACTGTCTCCTTGGAGTCTAGGAGAAATCCTTTCCTGAGTGGAGAAAGGAGCAAAACCAACCTTCAGGGTGAATTACTGGGCCTAAGGGGAAGGACACCCCAGCTCCCTGTGGCCCCAAAGTGTCCAGCACCAATGTTCACTCTTTATATTACGGAATTACAGAATCCTAATAAAGCAGTTGGAGCCCCTGAATGGCAGAAACAGTTAATGCGCTCTGCTGCTAACCAAAATGTCGAAGGTTCAAGTCCACTCGGAGGTGCCTCCAAAGAAAGATCTGGCAATCTACTTCCAAAAACTCAGTCACTGAAAACCTTATGGAGCACAGTTTTACTCTGAAACTTACAGGGTCACCATGAGTCAGAGCTGACTTGACAGCAACTGGTAATGATGCCATTAGAGGAAATGATAATCACAGCTGCCGTGTGCCAAGCACTGTGCTAAGGGCTTTAAACATCATCTCATGGAATTCTCAAACACACTTTACAAGATGGGCATTATTCCCCACCCTCCCCCACAGAAGACAAGAGGCTAGCTAGATTAAGCTATCAGTCCATACATACAGCCTTAAGCACAGAGCTGAGATCATGACCCCAGGTCTGTTTGATTTTCAACCCTTACTCTTCAAACATCATATGTTCTTGCCCTTCATTTTATGAGAAAACTGTGGTCCTAGGAAGACAAAGTGGTTTGTCTACAGTCACACATTGAATTGGCAAGTAACCCTGGGATGACAGATTCTCAAAGTCCTACCCTATATCGGGATTCTTTCTTCCTCAACTCACTGTACATATACTCCCACAGTCCCAAACAAAAACCAAACCCAACCCGTTGCCGTTGAGTCAATTCTGACTCATAGCAACCCTATAGGACAGAGTAGAACTGCCCCACAGGGTTTCCAAGGAGTAGCTGGTGGATTCGAACTGTTGATCTTTTGGTAGCAGCCAAGATCTTAACCATTCTGCCACCAGAGCTCCATAGTCCCAGAAGATAGGAGGTAAGAATTTGCTCAGATTGTCTATAACACATTAACTCCCTAACTCCCACCCAGGATCTGAACTCCCGCCCTCTCCTGGCCCACCTTTCAGCATTCTCTGTGGCTCCCTCTTACTCCCAATACTGTAACCCTGAATTGGTCACTGGAACTTATAACACAGTCCCAACCCCAGCTTATAGCTGTGTTGCCACATACCTGGGGCCACGGGGCCCAGGTGAAGAGAGATGGCACAAGCTAGCCTGCTTCCAGGAAAGGGCAACTCCAAATTCTCCTGGATCATGGTCCTGGGCTCTGGTTTTCTCTAGGAAAGAGTGAGTGCAGGGATACTGCCCATCACTCTCCAGACGAATTTGCTTTAAAGCCTCCCTGAGGTTCTTGAGATTGAAGGAAATTTTCTTCTCAACAGAGGAGAGCAGATACCACTCCAACATACCTCTAGAGAAACATACTCAGCTAATAAATCAATTGCAAGAATGAGTACAACTGGCCTATACCCTCCTTAGTACAGCTGCTCCTATATACAAAGCAAAATATAAAGACTGTAGCTCTAAATGTATTGCTACCTGAGCAAGAAGATGCTGTTTCAATGTTAAATTGTGGAGCAGAAAAGTTTTTGGCAAATGCATTCCACAGGTGCCCCCCAGACTCCCAATTATCTTGTCCCTGATCCTGAGTCTTTTAGGTTCCAGAAGGGAACTGGATGGTTCCTGAAGACTTAGGGAAAGATTTTTAGCTCTTGGGGGCATAGATTCCCTTGCACTTCTATTTTCTATATCTCTAATAGTGGCGTAGTGGTTAAGAGCTACGACTGCTAACCAAAAGGTCAGCAGTCTGAATCAACCAGATGCTCCTTAGAAATCCTATGGGGCAGTTCTACTCTGTCCTATAGGGTCGCTATGAGTCAGAATCGACTCAGCGGCGATGGGTTTGGTTTTTGGTTTTAATGATCCAGAAGGCAGCCCAGGTGGCACAGTGGTTAAAAGTGCTTAGCTGCTAATGGAAAGGTCTGTGTTCAAACCCACCAGCCACTCTGTGGGAGAAAGATGTGGCAGTCTGCTTCCGTAAAGATTTACAGCCTTGGAAACCCTATGGGGCAATTCTACCCTGTCCTACAGGGTCACTATGAGTCAGAATCGACTCGATGGCAGTGGGTTTGGTTTAATGATCCAGATGAAAGACTAATTGAGGTCTTTTTGGGATGTTATTAAAGTTATTTGGTGGTGTTATAATTTATACTCATCTTTCTTTAAGTTCTTTTTAATTATATCGAGCTTTCAAAGCAAGGCTGGACTATGGAGTTAAAAATAGAGGCTAAGAAACTCTTCCCCCCAATTCTTGTCTGTTTCCTTTCTCTTCTTCACAAGGCAAAGCCATCTCCAGGCACCAGGCCTTCCCCTCTGAGCCTATTTGCCACCCCACGGACATGATTTATCAGGGGATCATTTGCCCATGGGCCTCTATGGTTAATCCCTTGAGTAGGGCTGTCCCCATTCACTAAAGACAGATTCTGCCTTTTGTCAGTCAGTAGAAACAAACAGTTGCCTTTACATCGATTCATGGTGACCCCATGTGTGTCAGAGTAAAACTGTGCTCCATAGGGCTTTCAAGGGCTGATTTTTCAGAAGTAGATTGCCAGGCCTTTCTTCTGAGGTGCCTCTGGGTAGACTCAAACTGCCGACCTTTCCATGAGCAGCTGAGCACGTTAATGGTTTGCACCCCCCAGGGACCCTCGGTCAGTCTGTAATAGTTGGGAACTCAGCCTGATTCTAGGGGTGTCTGACTGGTACCTCAAGAAGTGAATCTCCTCCCTAACTTTTTTTGTTTTGTTTTTAAGGATCTGGCTGCTTTGTAGCCTAATTCCAGAGGCTTTGTTCCATTGTGGACCAATATATACTGTTCAAAGGCTCCAGGGCCATTACTCCTAGCTCTTGGGAATTCCTTCATTTCCTGAGACCCAGCTTTTCAGTCTTATTGGCTGAAAGATCAAGCAAGAAGAGATACCACACATTTCCAACAACTCTCTCCCACACTCTGCTTTCCCATTCCCTCTTACCTGTCTCCACCTGGCTGAGGGCCCTGCAAGCATCTGTGGAATCGGCTACATCCCCGCTCATCTTGATATCTGCATGGAAATCACAACTGATTTTAATAACAGGTCACAATTTTTTCTTGCTATGATATGTGTGGCTTTAACTAAACAGCAAAGATGAATGTGTAATTACAACAACCATCAGACTTTCAAATTTCTGATTCCCGAACATACCACCATTAGAATATTCATAAGCCTGGGGGCATGGATCCCCTCCTCTTGTGCTTGCCTCCCCTCCCTTGCCTTTCCTTCCCCCTTTCTCAAGTGCCACTGCGGGGTCTCTCACCTTCTGCATCATTCATTGCCACTTCTTTCTATCACCAGGGCTCAGTTGGTAAAAATTTAACAAGGGGAGGGGTATGGTGGAGGAAGGGAGGGAGCTCTTCCCATTCCTGATCCTAATTTCCTTTGGGATTTGGGGGATTTATTTTATTTTTTTAAGTAGCATAAGAAATGCTACTTTAAATGCTCCTCCTACCCCATATAACTCTACCTTTTAACTGGGACTTCCCTAATTCCTGTCTCTGTTCTCCGTCTGGTTCTCAGAGGTCAGCCCACCATCTGGGGATCAAACCCAGCTCCTATACTGCCCTCCTTAAAGAGTCTGTCCTTGGGATCCTTACCTTCTCTCCTATTCCTTCAACTTCCTCAATGAGAACGGAATGGCAGGCTTAATCCCTACCCCGATCCGAACTCCTGGGGAGAGAGGATACTGACACAAGGCCCTGGTCTCAGCTCCAGTCTGCTGGTCTGGCCTCTCCACCCTGCTTCATTTCAATAAATTAAACATTTACCCATAACAGACAGCTGCCACCACCTATGAGGCCCCTAAGTCTCCGCCAAGGGTCAGCAGAAAGAAGGAAAGAGGCAACTTTGAAATAACTCACTCAGGGCTCCTCTCCTTATTAAACCACCCAAATACTGAATCCGTTAAAGACAGAAGAATATTTTATTCAAATCGTGGTGACCCCCCCCCCCCCCACTTCTCACCCCCACCCTCTTCTCAGGGGCAGCATTTTAACTCTTTCAAATCAGATAAAGTCTTGGTGAGCTGATTTGCACACCCGACTCCCCAGCCAATCCCAGTTAAGCAGGCAGCCTTCATTTGCATCAGGTAATCAGGCAGTTGGCAGGCTGGACGCCCAAGGTCTGGAGATGATCAGGATGGGGGAAAAGCGTGGACCTCTGCCCCAGGAAAAGCAGGGAGAAAGCCTACTTTTTTTTAGGGCGATGGTGTGTCTGGCAGAGATTTAAATTGTGGCCCCTCTAGAGTACAGTGGCTGCAGTGCAGGAGGGTAACTGCCATTGTGCTACATTTAAGGAGGCATTTCTTGGGTAACCTAAGTCTTTCCTGCTGCAGTTTTAAGTTTTCCATATAGTCTTCCCTGGATGAATCTGCAGAGTAACTATGTGGGCCACCTGAACACATCTGCAAAGGATCTCCGCCGCTCACCTTCTGCTCCAATGGAGGAATGAGCTTTGCTTCCTGTCACCCAGGAAGTACTAGCCCAGGAGCTAGGCATTGCCTAACCCAGACCTGCTCAGCGCACACCTCGCCATAGGGAGTCTTCAGCAGGGCTTCACTCACAGACTGCCGGGAAGGTGCAGGAGGAAGCAGAGTCCTCCTCCTCTGGTGGTTTTAACCTGCTTCAGTAGTACCAGAATTGAGAGCATGGGTTTGGGGTGTGGACAGACCTTGATTCAATCCCCGCACCATCACTAAGCAGCTGGGGAACCCTGGCAACATCTTTGAGCCTCGGTTTTCTCCAATAAGAAATGGGGATAATGATACTTAACTCCCAGGGTTACTGTGAAAATTAAATGAAATAATTTAAAAAAATTGCCTGGCACAGTTCCTGGCACAAAATAAACACATAATAAAGAAACTAACTAAACAGAAACTTCAGCTGGGATGTTAGTTCCCTTCCTCTTGCCTCTCTTTCTCATGTCTCTTCTCTTAACCCTTTCTCCCATTACAACAAATGGCTTCTGTTTTCTGTCTCAGCACCAATCTGTACTTTACCTGAGAAGACATTAAAAAACGAAACCAAACCAGTTGCCGTGGAGTTGCTTCTGACTCATGGCAATCTCGTGTGTCAAAGTAGAACTGTGCTCCATAGTTTTCAATGTCTGATTTCTCGAAAGTAGATCGCCAGGCCTTTCTTCCGAGGAGCCTCTGGGTGGTCACGAACCGCCAACTTTTTGGTCAGCAGCTAAGCGCTTACCTGTTTGCACCACCCAGGGACTCCGGGAAGCCACTGGCATTCTCCAATTCTTACTGTTGTAGGAAAAGTGTTCATGGGGACAAGAAGGGGTTATAAGGCAGTGAGGTTGGGATGATAACCAGATTCTTGGCATCAACATATTTCAACCAAACTCCTGACATTTAAGAAGGGTAACTCTCTAGCTGAACTGTAATTGTATGCTTGAAATCCGAAATGTCTTCCCACACCCACCCCCTGCATCGCCCTTAGGTATACCCAGAAACCATCTCATTCATCCTTTAAGTTAGCATATAATTTTGTCTTAATCATATCTGAAAAGAACTATTGAAGAAGCGAAAGGCCCCAAACTCTGCCCATGACAGCTATTCATGTGCTGTACCCATTACAGGAGCAACATCGGACAGGGATTTGAGCCTGAACGGAGGGGCAGGGTGAGGCCGTTTCTAACCTCTTCTTAAGTCCCAAGGGATGCTAAGATACCCGAGAACCTGTTCCTGTTGGGTAGGAGGCCGAGGCTGATGGGTGGGACGAGCTCTTGAGTCTCAGCCTAAAAATGAGCCAACACCGAAACTCCCCGAGACGCTGTAACCCTTCTCCTGTCGGACAACACTTGCCAGGGGTGAGTGAGAGGTGTGGGGTGGGGCCAGGCTTCTGACTGTGTTCGTATCTAAGCGGGCAACTGAGTGGGCTCCGTGCCATCACTCCCTTCCCTGGGAGGCTCAGTTGCTCTGTGTAAGAGCCCAGACACCGGGCTCAGACCTTCCTCTGCCTCACCCAGCATCCTCACACCCCAAAGCTGGGGCTGGTGCTGATCCTGGCCTTGCCCTCCCTGGGCCTTGGCATGGCACGGGAGGAACCCCTCAAACATCTGCAGACCAGGATGCGTGATTGAGCTCACCAAGAGAAAACCCAAGGGGGGACCTTCCCGCAGGCTGTAGGCAGCGTGCCCACAGTCCTGAATTTTCTCGGTCCAGCCTACCTATGCTGGGAAAGCAGAGGGCCTGTCCTTCTCTCTCCGAGTTTCCGACCTTCATCTAGGAAGGGGCTGGGGTTCCTCCTGACTCCTCCCTCACACACGGGTTGATGGGGGCATGCCTACCGGGTGAACTTCAAGGGACTGACCAGTCCTGCTTCTGAGCTAGCCAAGGCTCCAACACTCCCCCTGAGGTGACATCTCTGGTCTCTTCTTTGAGAGACATCCACTCCCTCTTCTAACCTAAGTGGAATCGCTGAGCTCTAACAGGCATCAGTCTGTGGGACTTGACCCCTCTTTCCCAAGCCTGGCAAAGGTGGAGAACAGCTCACAATGAGGGGAAGGGCAGAGAAAGAGGCGTCCTGGGGCCAACCAGGTGTCCCCCCCTGCAGCTGGCTTCCAACTGTTTTCCTCTATCTCTTCTTTCCCTCCCTTTCTGGGTCTGTCTGTCTGACTCTTGTCTACTCCTCTGCCTTTTCTCGGCCTGGGTGGGGGTGCCCCTCCTTGCCTGGGGTGCCCCCATGTCTGGTGACCTCATACCTGCTCAGGTCTCTGTGCTCCCACATGAGAGATGCTCCCTAAAGCACAAAGGGTTTTGGCTCTAGGAGGCCCGAATCATAGCTTGCCCCCCGGATTATCAGAGCAAACGCGATGGGGCTGACTCAGGGGTCACAGTGCTAGTGGAGCCGTCTAAATGGGGGACACGGGGGCAAGCATATGCCCTAGATTGTGTGCACCTCTCCTCCCTCCCCTATTCAAACTGTTCTAATAAATCAGTGGAGGAGGAGTCCCCAAGGGCCCAGGACTGGGAACTCACAGGGGAAGCGCTGTTAATATTAAGAATAAGCAGACTGCAGGATTACTCTCAGGGAAAGATAGGACTCAAAAGAGCCCAAGTTCTCACAAAGAGGATCCTGAACTGAGACACTCTAGAGAGGGGCCCATAATGAGGCACTCCATAGAAGGGCCTTTCCTCACAAAACTTACATCAGGACTCACCCTGAAAGACCCACAGAGCAGACCCAGCAAAGAGAGTCCTCAAATAGAGACCCAGTCAGAGAGACTCCCCAGAAAGCCCCAAACAGAGAAACCCCTTCAAGGTGCCACTGAAGGGAAAGAAGACACGACAAAGAGGTCAAGACTCCGAAACCTCTAAGGAGGCCTAGACAGCCCTGTGCAGAGCCCTAGGGGAGACAGACTAAGGAGGTGGGCTGGGGAGGTCCGGCAAGTAAATGTAGAGAGAAATCAGGTACTTCACCCCAAAGCAGGTGGAGACTAAACTGTGTGGGGTCACCCTATCTTGTATTTTGCCCAGCTTCCCTCTTTGTATCTGGAACCCCTGTCTGGGTCTAGGGTTCTAAGAAGCATCAGCCCAGAGTTCCTTCCCATGTGGTGGCATGGGGGACTTGACCTCCTCACACTCTCAACCTCACGCCATCCCTGACCCCTGGCCAGATCTTCTTAGCTCTCCAGGCTGCTTCCCTGCTGGTCCCAGCTGTCCCACCTCCTCCCACTTCCTCTAGAGAGGGGCCTCCAGGAGACAATGAGGTGGAAAACCCCCAGGAAGTCTCTAATCTTGTTCCTAAAGAACTTCCCCACTGTGGCCCACCCTTCTGAAAAGGCTTGCTCCCATTCAAGCCCTGGGCCTTCAAGGTGGGACGTGAAGGAAGGAAAGTGCCCTCAGCTATGCCAGCCTCGGGACTATGCCACGGGGTCTGGAAGCCAGCTTTCCCCAGACACTGGAAGGCACCCAGTTGGATAGTTCCTTTTGCCTCACCTGGCCCTTCCTGTCATGTCTTATGAATCCACTCAGCGCCAAAACCTCTTCATCAGCC